CACACACACACACACACACACACACACACACACACACACACAGAAACCCAGTGCTGAAGTCCCAGTGTGTGTAATCTAATCAGAGGAGTGTTCAGACAGGTGGCCATGTGTAAGCAGACCTGCTTGATCCAGAAGGCAGAGTGATAACCAGAGATAAAGTCCCTGGAGCAGACATGAAACAGCTCAGGTCGAGCCACATCAGCTGCTGCACAAGTGCGTCTGTGTGTAAGTGGGTATTTGCGTTGGCATCAGTGTGAACTCCATCTTTCCTCAAGGACCTTGGTCTATTGTTTTCTCCTGAGGCTGCCAATAGCGTTTAACAATAGAACAATACAAAGTACCACAGTCCCAAGGCCATACAGACATGGACTTTATTAATTAACTGTCTGTCAACGTTAATATCACATCCTGTACCGGTGTGTGTTTCTGCGGTCCATGGTTACCTTGTGCACATAAAACTGAGGCTCAAGTGGCTTCGTCACGACCAGAAAAACTGCAATTCAGCGCTTGAAAATACGAAGCGAAGCATTTTTTATATAAATTCCTTTGTGGTGATGTTTTGTAGCAGAGCTGAAATAAACGTCCAAGCTAAAAAAAAACCTGTCGGGTAAACAATACCTGCGCTCACAGAAACTGTAATCTTTTCAAGGCTATCCGTAAATTGGTAATCCGTTGATGCTCCTGTCATTGTGTTTCTATGGTGACGTTACACAACTGGCCTTGCTGACGTAGAATATTCATAGAGGAGTGAAAAGAAGAAACAGAATCATAAACCAGCAGTTTAGAAGGTAAGATGGGATCCAAACCTCAGTGCAGGTTGACACTGAAAATCATCTTAACTCAAATTAAAAAAGAAACTCGATCAGACTTTTTTGGGACACGGTGTGAGAAACAAATGTTATTGGACATTAAGCCAAATACTGTATGAACACATCAGAACCTCAGTAAGCTCCTGGATGAAGATGCCGCCATCTTTCGTATAATCATTAGAAACACTTGAACATACATCAGTGTGATAAACACTACCGCAAAGGACAGAAACCATTTTTGAGAACATTGTATTTAATGTCTATTGTCAGCCACCAGGGGGCACATTTATAATAAAATGTATATTTTGTGTTCATCCTACTTGGTTTATCTGCAGAGAAGATTTTATAGTCAAATGTTTTTTCATGAAATCAAACCGAGTTGTTTTATTACTGTGTTTCAAATAAATCTTTGACTGATTTAGGGAACGGCTGGACTTAAGTCTGTTTAGCAACCAACACAGTCTTCAGACACAAGTTTATAATGAATTCAGCTCGATACAAAACATTGCAGCAACAAAACGAACACTGTGATTTTAGTTTGGTTTAATTGTTACTCCTGTGAATGTCTGATATGGTGAACTAGAAATAAGGAGATTATCAACATGGTCTGGAGGGTCAGATACTATTGCCATTATCACCAGCTGCTGACCTCTGCTGTAATTTGTCTCAGGATGTAGAAGAAGAACTCATTCCACAGACTGAAGGCAAACTGCTCCGCACCCAACTGACTGCTACAGAACGCTGACCGCCTGTTTATTCAAGTCACTCATTCTTAATTGCCTGAAAACATTTAACTCTGAAATGCAAAGTGTAAAATATCGCTCGGTCGTGTAAATAGGATCATTTTACAACTCGTCATACTACAGTGACTTTCTGTGACTTAGATCATTAATGACTCAAGGTCAATAGTTCCC